GGCCGGCTGCTTGGGGGGGGGGGGGAGGGCTGCACTTCGCCACGGGCTGCTCCGTCCCCTTCCCACCTCCGCTTCTTCTTTGCAGGTCCGTCGACATGTTACAGGTACCGCTGCCCCTGGACCGCGATGGGATCCTGTTCCGGCTCCGTTTCACCACGCTGGCTGTTGGCACCGTGTTCTGCCCGCTGTTTGGTTTCCTTTTCTGCGTGATCTGGTCTCTGCTGTTCCATTTCCAGGAGACGACAGCCACCCACTGCGGGGTAAGCGCCTCTCACCGGCCAAACGCAGAGGTCTGCAAAGGGGGCGCCTGGCGCGGCGGGAATCCTGCCTTGCTCCGCGCTCTCCCCCCCGCCGGGATACGTGACCTTGGATACGTTCCTCTCCGTTATTGTGCTGCTGATGCCGCGTGACTAGCGGTTGAGGTTCCCGCTTTTAAAAAGGGATGGAGGGTAGCGCAGCCTGGCCTGGCCGACGTCTGTGCTGAGCAGGCGGGTGGTGACTGGAGAGCAGAACTAGCGAAGCTGCAGATAAAGATGGTGTCTCATGGAAGAGTTAACCCAGCTTTGGCAAAAGGAGTTCCTGCCTCTTGGAGGCACTGGAGGAGTCGCAAGCGCGTGCCTGGGAGCGGTCCGGTTGACAGGGACCTCTTGGGTTCCCAGAAGGGTTCGGATCAGGTTCCTCACCAAGGCTTTCAAGCAGCCGCGGCACAAGCGTGGAAGTCTGTGCCTGCACAAGCACCTAGCGAAAAGGCAGGAGTAGATAATCTCAGCTCTCACAGCAGCAGGAGGAGGTGACCTCAGGGTGTTACAGGTGTCTGTGGTCTTCCTTGTGCCTGTGCGCAATGGGGTGACGAAGACTGCTGGCGATGGCAAGGTGCTGGTGCAGGAAGGGTGAGGCAGGCTGTCAGGGGCTGCGTCCAGGGCGGGACGCAGCTGGGCGACCGAGCAGCAAAATGCCAGTGCGGTTCCATGCAGAGAAATAAGTGATGTGCATGTGGACAGGCACTCCTGAGGTTGCCTACAATGAGGTGGAGGTGGGCTCTGCGCTGACCATCGCCGCTCCGGAGTGAGGTCTGGGGGAGCGATAGATGTTCTCGTGAAACTTCCACTCGGTGCTCAGGAGTAGTTGAAAAAGTCAATCAAAGCCCAGGAGTTGTTAGGAAAGGAGTAGAGCAGAGCGGGCGGCATTCATGCCGGTGTCGGCCCGTGGCTGAGACGTGTCTTGAACAACGCGTGCAGGTCTGTCCCCTCCTCCCAAGCAGCAGTACGGGATCTGTACGGAGGAGAGCAGCGAGGATGCTCAGAGGCGTCACGTGGGGATGATGAAGTAAGCAAGGATCCTTCATCGTCAAATGGGAAGAGATGATGAGGTGGGAGAGGTAGGATAGAGACCTCTAAAGCCATGGCTGGCGTGCAGAGCACAGACAGGGATCCCGTTCGCCCTCTGCCAGCGTCAGAGTTAGAGGACGCCGTATGGAGGTGGCAGGTTGGCAGCAACCCCGTGGGACCCGGCTCCTCCTCAAGCAGAGGGTAGTGGATCTGTGGACTGTCCATCCACAGGAGACTGTGGGTACGCAGCTCTACCTGGGTGCCGGCCAGACCGAACGAGATCACGGAAGAGTAATCCGGTGTGGATTACCTGCTACGTAGCCATCGCAGCCGGCTTGGGAAGTCCCTGAGCTCTGAATCCTTGAGGCTGGGAGTCTGTTCTGGGGCTGTATCACTGATGTTTTGCTTGCTTTTATGTTCCTCCCTGAATATGCCTTTTGCCCATTGTTCCTATCAGTTTTCCCTGTTAGGGATGGGCTCCCAAAACCATGCACTGCACCCTTCTCTCCTCTCTCTCCCAACCGCCCCTGCTGCTCCCTGAGACCGGCCAAGGATCCTGCACCCTGGCCGGCGCTGGAGACCGCGTGCTGGGCTGGATGGACCCTGAGGCTGAAGCAGGACTGCTGCGCCGTTGCATTCCCTGGCTTGTGACACAGGAATAAAACTTACCTCGCCGATCGCTGTAGCGTCTCGGAGAGCCCGCCACACGTTCCCCTGCCTCTCCCCGCTTCCCTCCAGGTCCCCAACTACCTGCCCTCCATCAGCGCCGGGGTCGGGGGCGAGACCCCTCAGCGCTACGTCTGGCGGCTCTGCATCGGCCTCCACTCGGCGCCCCGCTTCCTGGTGGCGATCGCCTACTGGAACCACTACCAGAGCTGCCGCTGCACGCACCCTCGCTACCTGCGCCTCTGCCACTTCAACCTGCTGCTCAACCTGCTCGAAAACTTCGCTCTCCTCGTCCTGACCTACGTGTCCTCGTCGGAGAACTATGGTAGGTGCTACCTGCGCCTCTGCCACTTCAACCTGCTGCTCAACCTGCTCGAAAACTTCGCTCTCCTCGTCCTGACCTACGTGTCCTCGTCGGAGAACTATGGTAGGTGCCCCCTGCCGCGCCTCTGCGCCGGCCGCCTCGCCGGTGGCTTTGCTCGCGGTTGCCGAGGTTTCGCAGAGTTCTGCTCCGTGAGGACGTTTTGGAAGTAGTCCGTTTGGAGAAGAAAATAGTTTAAAATAAAAAAGTTCTGCTTCAAGTAATGTTTATATGGCAAAATTATATCCACAGTGTGCGGGTGGAACTTTTCTCCCTGAAACGCTGGGTTGCTGTTAATTCGCCCAAACCACAGGCTGAATTTTTGTAGCAAGCTTGAAATCAGAATTTACGGTTTGGTTTCCGCTTCTGTGCTGAGACCATGCTTAACGCTTCTTGTCACAGTCGAGTGTACAAAGGAAGATTAGTGCCTGTTCCTGCTATCAGCTGAGGTTTGGCTCAGAACTGGCTTCCAGCCTACGCTCTGTCCTGGCAGCCTGTTAAATATCCTCGCATGACATTTTCTGGGTGAAACTTCCTATGTTGATCTCGGGACAAGTTAGATTTTTTGAGGTTAAATCACAGCATGCAAAACAGGATCAAGACGGGCTGGGAAACGCCCTTCTCCCGCGTGGTCTCGTCGGCAGTGACTTTCACTGCGAGCGGTGACGCGCGACGGCTGACTCGAGCCGGCGCACCAGCAAGGGGGTGCTCTTGCAGAGGAAACAACCCCAGTTCTGGGGCTTGTTGGCGGGACGGTCGCGTGTCAGATGTTAGCGCGCTCCGCTGGGGTGACGCTGCCCGGCTCTGGGTGCTGCGCGCGAAGGACGCAGCCGCAGAGCCCCACCAGAAGGAGGCCAAGCGCAGTCCCGAGAAGGAAAGGCCGCGGCAGCGTTAGTTTGGGGAAGGCGAGGGAGCAGCGCTTACCCGCGCGCGCTGAGCTGGTTAAGCTGGTGTCCAGGAATGCAGCTGATCCCGTACTCGGCAGAGTATGTTTGTACCCACAGCGGACGGGAAAAACCAATTCTCAGAAGGCAGACGCGGTGGGTGTCGGGAAGCCTTTCGATTGCTTGGAGCAGCAAACTACCGGGACGGGCTACGGCTCCGTCACTGGGGCCCTCCAGGAGCACGGGGAAAACGCCGCGGGGTTGAGCGGATCCCGCCTCGGCGCAGAGGACGGGATGCGCCGTTCAGATGCCCCAGAGCGCATTGCCATCCTCGAGGATATGCCTTGCAAAGGGCCACGGCGCTCCTCCCCGGCGGGCTGGTTACCTGCAGAGCCCTGGGGCTCGTTGCACTGATGACAGCTCCGCCAGACGTGTGCAGAGCCCTGGGCGGAGGTGGCTGAAGCACAGCCGAGGGGGTGGGCAAAGCCTATGCTAAAAGCTAAGGCTAACCCAGTTTGCTCTGCTCTTCTTATTATAGACTAATCTCAGGTTCCTAGGGAAAGTCTCAGACCGTAGCAGCAGCCTCACATGACGGTGGGCTCAGTTTAATCATCTCTGGCAGGACACTGCTCATGTCTTCACAATAAGAGCTGCCTCTGCGGTCTTTCTTTGCTGTGGTCTGATGCATCCTCTCCCCTGAAACAGGGAGGGGAAGGCAGGGAAGCGTCGCTCCTTGCGGTGGGGTGTCCTGGTTGCTATTTCCACTTGCGAATTCAGTTCTTGGAGGAAGAAGCTGGGAAATTCTTTACTGAAATGGAAGCACTCACTTAAAAATAACTCACCTGAAGTTGCCTAGGCCTTGCCTAGCCAGTGTGGCTTTGGGGCCTCTGGGATTACTCGGGTTTAGGGCTGCTCCAGCCAGCTGTCTTTCTAGCCTGACCCCAAATCGACTTAAGCTCAGCGACGCACAAGCAGCCTTAGCGTTAATGACGGGGCTGGTGGCCCAGTTGTTAAGTGGCAGGTAGGTGACGCGGGAAGCCAGGTGATGGCCCGATCTGGCTCCTGGACTGACTCACTCTGCAAACGACCCTCTGTGCCTCAGTTTCCCCATCCCTAGGACCAGAGCAATGCTGCTGGCTGCCTTTCTAGGGTGCTGGAGGTTTGCAGCCTTGTCGAGCAATTGAGCTTCTTTGGCCAGGTGCCTTTGGGATAACTCTCGGCGGGCATAACGTGCCCCGGGAGAAGCCAACATCCCTTTCCTGCCCCTGCTTCACCAGGAGCCACGAGGCGCCTGCGAGCAGCGTGGGCACCGTTCCTGTTACAGCCCTCCCCCCCCGTCTCGGCTTGGGGCCGGGCGGCGTGGAGCCGTGCTGCCCTCGGGTCCTCGGGCTGCCGCTCGGCGACCCTCCTGTTCCCCTTGGGCTCTTGGCTCGTTTCCATGCCCGGTTTTAACCGCAAACCTCTTGTCTTGTCGATTCAGCAATCCACGAAAACGCCTTCATCGTCTTCATCACGTCGGCTTTGGGCCACATGCTGCTGACGTGCGTCCTGTGGAGAATGACTAAGAAACACACAGTAAGTCCCGAGGTACAGCACCTTTCCTTTCTTCTGCGCGCTGGGCTGGGCCGGGCTCTCCGCTGGCGGTGCAAGGGCTTTGCCTGTCTGCGCCTCCGAAACGAGCACAGCCGGGTGGTGAATCAGATCCGCCAGCAGGTGGAACTGGCTCAAGGGAATTATGGTCAGCAGAATTCATGATTTGACCCCGTTTACTGAAACAAACCAGGGAAGAACGTTTTAATTCCCGTTCGCACTTAGAGCTGGTGCTGGAAGCGCTGCCCGGCTAGTGTCCCTCCTGGCCGTGGTTTGCCGGCCCCGCTCCCTTGCCTGGCGGCGCCCGTTTCGGAGCTGAACCTGGCTCTCCGTGCTGGGGAGCGGTGAGCTGGCCGGGCTGCAGCCTGGGCAGGGCTGTGGGTGCCGCCGGCGGGCGGCAAA